TTCTAGAAAATCAACATAATTTAAAAAAGATGACTGAAAGACAAACGTCGGTAGTAGAAACAACAGTAAATATATTAAAACGCACATCTGAAGAAATTCAGCAACAATACAATGAAATTCATGAAAGAGTTGAATCCATAAACACTGCTTTGAATGAAACTTATCTTGTTTATAAGGAATCAATAAATTTTTTTATGGTAGCAAGACAGTTATCAGATATGATAGAAGAATGTTCTCAAATTCAATCTGAAGTAATGGAACTCTTAATGGACGTTAACCATGGAAAATTAAATCCAGCACTTATAAAACCATCACAGTTACATCGCGAAATAATAAAAATAAGAGATATAATTCCCGAAAATCAAATGCTACCTGGTAAAAAAACTGGAACGGAGTTAGAATCCATATACAAGTTATTAAAAGCAAAAGGGCTATTTATTGGAAACAAATTAGTAATTAACGCAAAAATTCCACTGTTCAGCAAGCAATCATCTACTATATATAAAATAATACCTATATCAATCAATCAAGGTGTAAAATATATAATTCCGAAAGTTATGTCATCATTTTTACTATATAATCTCGAAATAAATGCATATCAATTGATGGATCCTCTGACATGGAGTCAATGCAACAAGATAGAAGAACAACAATTTACTTGTGAAGGTAATTTTCCGTGGAAGGATGCAAACGATAATTCTTGTGAAATATCACCACTAAAACCAACTAATCAAGATAATTGTCACTACGAAGAAGTAAATAATTCTTCCATTTGGATCAAATTATACCGACAGAATAGTTGGATATTCAAAACTTTTAGACAAGAATCTGTCCACATTAGATGCTCAAATTCAATGGTAGAAATAATAACTCTATCAGGTCAAGGCATTCTATCACTAACAGAAGGATGTATGGCACGCATAAGAGAAACAACATTAACATCCTCTAGTAATCTGCAAAGCTCCACGATAGTAGAAGTAATCAAGCCAGTTACTAAAGATGCAATTATAATAAATAATAGTAATATAAAACCCTGGCACCATTGGAAAATAAATAACAAAGAAGAAATTAATCAAATAAATAAGCAACTAAACGATATAAAGAGTAACGCAGTGAAGCTAAAAGATTTGCATTTTCATCACGTATCTGGGCACGCAGCACTTGGGTTAACTTCAATAGTGATAATAGCAATAATAATCTACCTAGTTCGAGCAACAATAAGAAGAAGACAACTACTAGCTATTGCAATTTCTACCCGCCGGCAGAATGTTCAGGAGTGAACATAGATTATAAGTTATGAAAAATTGTACGAAATTTAAAAATATACTTTCATGCATAATGTTAATACAATCCTATTATATTATTTTTAAAAAAAAAATTATTATATTTAATTCAACCTTTTGTAACTATGTCAGATTATATTTTATTATATATTGAAATAACTATTTTGCAGAATCCACGACTCTGCGTTTTAAATGAGATGGCAGTATGTTCAAGAATGAACATTGTTTTAATTTATATACCATAATGTTAATTATATAATCTTATTATTTTATATTATCTGTTAAAATTATATTTTATTTAATTCGATCTTTACATGACTCTGCATTTAAAAGTTCTGGCAGAATGTTCAATAATGAACATGTTATTTTAGGACATACAATCCTAAAACTATTAAAATTAAAATTGTATCTTTTTTCAAACGCTGGCAGGATGTGCCTAAATTTATAGTTATTTATTTATGTCTGTTATCGTTTAAATTCTTAGAATTAAATAAGAAGGAAAACACGGGTAATAAAAAAATCCCAAAACTAAAGATATTGAAGAATATTAAACACATTTTAAAATACATGGCACCGTATCGATAATAAAAATATAATTGTAAAATAATAAAAATTCTACGTGCCAGAATTTTATGAACCTTTGCGACAGCAATAAAATGCAACTAAAATTATACAGTCCACTAAAATAAATGATAACAGGCAACAAATTATTTCAACCCTTATTTGTAAATGTAGTTAAGTTATGTTAAGACAATTTTGTATAAATAGAGAATAATTTTCAAAATAAAATCAGTATCAAACGAATACTCAAGCCTTTTATTTGACATTAGCTTTACTCAGAAATGATTTTATTTCGTTTGAAATATGCCATTTCATGTTATTTTGTTTATTTGTCATTGTATAAAATTAATTATCACAAAATTAACTAATCCGCATTTGATTTGATGATTGATTTTGTTAAGTTTCAATTTCATTTTAAGCTATTGACCTATCAAGTGTATTAGAAAATCAAGTGTTCAAGTTGCTTAAATTTATATATTAAATTATAAGAATTTTTTTTCAAGACTACGAATAAAGTAATTTTATTGAGTTTAGAATAATGCAGAATAAAAAGTGTTAAATTTCTATTTTTCTTCTTTCAACAAAGAGCCTAAAAACATAGAAAGAAAAGTTTAGTGAAAAAAATAAAAATAAAATAAAAATAAAATAATTTTACTAAAATTAAATAAATAAGAATTATATTATTTAAAAATAAACAACTTCTTTTCTTATAAAAACTTGTCAGAAATATACAAATAGAATGCATTTCAAGATATGTTAATATATTATTATTTCGAAAACGATTAAAGAGTTCGATGTAGGTGATCAGCAAACTTAAGAACTACTTGAATTTTAGAAAACTCTAATATTGTAAAAAGTTGAAATCTTATTAAAAAAAACCTCTCAATTCTAATTTGTGTACCAGATTAAGAGGGATACGTAGTTAATAAACAGCAGACTGCCCAATTAAAAGACACACAGTGACTTCTTATTGGCCTCAAACTATTTTGCAAAGTTGAAACAATCTTAAAAACAATTTAATTCTCGTCTAAAAAAAAAGAAACTTATTGAGTTCTAAAACAGTAAAAACGTCATGATGTATGCTAACAGGTTTAACAGCGCTAAACGAATTAAAGGGAATAACTGAAAAGATAAAAATATCAATATTGAGTTATAATATATACACATTATTAAACACCAAGCTTCATTGCGAACGCTTATATTTACGAAAAATATACTCTAAGCTATCAACGCTGATTTTATATCATCCATAGATGACAGTAAATTAAGAGTCTGTCACGTCTAAGTAATACCTTAGATTGCAGTACATTTTAAAGTAACCAGCTAAAATACTTAAACATTCTCAGCTTAGCGGAAGAAGCTTACTTTGTGAACTTTAATATACTTATTTCAACAATCCTTCAGAGACCCTTATTCTGAAATAGCTTTCCAAAAGATCTGCGAAATATTCATTATTAGAGAGGCACCTATCACCTCTTCGTTTAATTAAATCGTTTTCCATGCAACAATTTTATGAGGTGTGAGTAAAGCCAGAAGTTAAAGGAAACAAAATTTTGCTGACAGGCTGGCGGTTGTAAAAATGAACTGGTTTAGGGGATTAATGATATTTTTTTAAACTGTGTTAGCATTTACCTTGTTTTTATGGAAATTTATTTCTTTTTCTGCAAACTCGGTCTTTAGTCACATATTTTTCGTATTCTATTGTTTATTTTATTATTAATTATTTTTATTGTCTTAACAGTAAGGAGTCAATTTCCTAGCAAAGAAGGGACCATGCACTCGTTTCATTGGTCCAAAACTCTTCTGCAGGGTCAGAAATAGCTTCACAAATAACTTATTCTGTGAACGGGAAAAACAATATCTACGGGAGAAACACTGAAGATCTCAAACAAGCATGCGGCAGTTAAGAAGATTCGTTGATCCTTAACACATCAAAGTTGATGCTATCCTTGGTCTTAACAGAAACGGTATTAAAATCCCCTTTGAACTTCTTACAGGACACTGTGCACTCAATTACCACATGAAGATTAAAAGTGCGGTAAAAAGTGATTCCTGTCGACTCTATCTTGAGGAGAAAGATACATCAGAACATATTCTATGCAACTGCCCAGTGACGGCAAGACGTAGACTCGACTCTCTTGGAAGCGGGATCTTAGTCCCAAATCAAAGATGTGAAATTAAACCCAAAGCAATTACGAGATTTATAAATAATCCAGAATTGTTTTAGTTATGCCTACTGGTCACCTTCTTATTACTAGTCGTTTATGTTTTTAATGTAAAATTTGAATGTAACGTAATTAATGTATATAGTGAACAGCTCTAAATTTCAATATTTCGAGAATTCGATTATGTCGGTAAAAAGTGTGGTGTTTAAAGTTGTTCAGAATACGAGACTTCACTTCAATCTTAACTTCACTGATAGAATTATCATATCATAATTGTATGGCGTTTTGGTTTTACTTTTACTAATTACCAATAGGTGGCGCTTCTTAATCTTTGGTTATTAATTTAGCAAATTGTGAGTAAAGAGCTTAACGTTAAGGGTTCATATATTTTCAACAACCCAAAAATTAACAAACCATATTAATATTATATTAATTAATAATAAAAATGATATAAAATATAATCATGTCCATTTTGTCTTATAAAACTCAAAAAAAACTAATTCCAAGTATTTGTATTCAAATCTATATTTTATTTTAAATTTTTTGTTTCGTTTGCTTTGTTCTTGTAGTTGTAGTAGCTTCAATTTTTAAAGTTTTACTTGGTTTATTAAAATGTTAAAAAGACCCTTTCCTAATAATCACTACAGAATATAAAAACAAAAGATGATTCTTATAAAACACAAAAAAAATGGAAAGAAATGGATATTTTCTGATAGAGCGGAGAAAAATATTTAATACATATTAAACAAAACTTAAACGTTAAACGTTAAAACAAAACTGAAGCAACAGATGTCAAAGCTGTGTATAGAGCATTTTGCATTAACTGTAAAGGATTAGAACAACTTGCGTGGTCCATGGATATTTTTTAAAGAAGCGCAA